CTCTTTCTTTTTTTCTTGGTAAGTCTAGCTGAAGATTTGTCAATTTTATCTACCTTTTCAAAGAACCATGTCTTAGTCTCATTGATCTTTTCCTGTTGTTGTTGTTGTTTTTTTCTAGTCTTTATTCCATTTATTTTCATCCTGATCTGCACTAGTTCCTTGCTTCTATTAAATTTGGACTTCGTTTGTTCTTTTTTAAATTCATTTAGGTGTAAAGTTAGGTTGTTTGAGTTTTTTTCCTGTTTCTAGGCCTGTATTGCTTTAAGCTTCTCTCTTAGAACCACTTTTGCTGCATCCCATAAATTTTGGTATGTCATTTTTCTGTTTTAATTTGTCTAGATTTTTTTTTAAATTTCTCCTTTGATTTCATTGATAACCCATTGGCTGTTCAGTAGCATGTTATTTAATCTCCACAGTTTGTTTTTCCCCCAGTTTTCTTCTTATGATTGATTTCTAGTCTTATACCATTGTGGTTGGAAAAGATGCTTAATATGATTTCAGACTTACTGAATTTATTGAGACTTGTTTTATGGTCTAATATGTGATCTATTCTGGAGAATGTTCCATGTGCATTTAAGAAAAATATGTATTCTGTGACTTTGGGCTAGATGTTCTGTATATATCTATTAAGTCAATTTGTGTCATTTAAGACCAATGTACATTTTAGTTGGACTGCACTACTGTACAGTGTACGCTTAATTTCTGACTGGTCCTTTTCCATTTTTTTGGCATTCTCATTAAGATCCTTAAAGGTTTCACTAAGTTCCTCAGAGGTTTCTAGAAGATTCTTGAGTAATCTTTTAACTGTGATTTTGAACTCTATATCCAGTAGTTTGTTTTCCTCCATTTCTTTCATTCGTGACTTATTTCTTTGTCTCCGCATTTTAGCTGCTTCCCTGTGTTGATGGAATGGGTTTGTGTGGTAGGTGACCTATAGGGCCCAGTGGCTCAGTCTCCCCAAATCACTTGAGGTGGACATTCTTGGTGCACCCCTTTGTGGGCTGGGTGCACAGTCTTATTGTAGTTAAGCCTTGATTGCTGTTGGTATCACTGGGAGGAATTGACCTCCAGGCCAATTGGCTGTGAGGACCCTCTGTGTCAATAATGGAAGAACTACTGTGCTGGAAGCACCCTTATGGGGCAAGACTTGCTACAGTGGGGCTTTGGTGCTCATTGAGTCTGCCTCTTGAGTGTGTCACTTATGGATGTGAGGAGTTGAAATCTGGTATTGTCTCACACTGACCATTAGGTACACTGGCTCCTGGATCTCCAAGGAGGTGCAGGTCAGTTATTACCTAAGGCCACCCAGCATAAGCTACAGCAAGATCTGCAGATTTCTCCTCTTTGTTTTGGGTTTGGAAGTTTTGGAACTATCTGACCCAACTGCCCTTTGTTATATTAAGTTGCAAAAGGGCAGGCCATTCATATGCAAAAGCTTCGGAGTACAGCTTGGGTGGATTTGTAAATTGGTTGGTGCGGGGGGGGGGGGGGGGGGGGGGGGGGGGGGGGTCTCAAGAGAATCACCAGGGTGTAGCAAACAGTGATGGCTGCCAGTCAGCCTTCTCTGTGTCTCTGCGTATTCACATCCCACGCCCCAGCACAGTAAACAGTGATTCCTGCGAGCACCTCTGCAAGAAAGCCACACTCACTTTCTAACCCAATGGCAGACAGTCCAGCTTCTCCCCGTAGGAGTATGGGTCTCCAGAGTATTGCCGGAAACTGGAGTTCAGAGCAGTAGAGAGCTTGTATCTCCTTCCCAATTGAAAAAAACAGCACACCCAGTCACCAGCCCGATTTGGGCGCCTCTGTACCTCTGCTTTTCCGCTCCTCTGAATGTCCTACCCCGTCTCAATGTGCTTTTTTATTTCCTTCTAGTTGTGGAACTTCTACTTAGCAATGTAGTTCTGGATGATAGTCATTCTGTCTTTGTAGTTTTGGTGTGGTTGTGAGAGGCAGCATGTACAGGTGTACACCTTATGTTGCCATCTTGGTTTTTTAGGATGCTATAATCTTGTACATGTCATTTTGCAATAGGCAAGTGTAAAATAAATTCCTGAAATGGAATTTCTGGGGAAAAGGTATGTGCATTTATAAATTGATAGATGCTGTCAAATTGGCCTTCATGGAGGTTGTACCAAAGCACACACTCATCTACAGAGCATCAATCTTCTGACTTTTCTAAAATCACATGGCAAGGAACCAAAACACTAATCAAGGAAGTAACAGATCCAAAACCAGTTTGGCTCAGTGGATAGAGCGTTTGTCTGTGGACTGAGGGGTCCCAGGTTTGATTCTGGTCAAGGGCATGTACATTGGTTGCGGGCACATCCCCGGTGGGGGGTGTGCAGGAGGCAGCTGGTCGATGTTTCTCTCTCATCGATGTTTCTAGCTCTCTATCCTCTCTGTGAAAGATCAATAAAATATATTTTTTTTAAAAAAGGAAGTAACAGAGATAATTTGACCTGACTCTGTGACCATGAGCCAACGGATTTGCTTGTTACTTCTCTCTCCCTTGCTAGACAATTTGGATATCTGACTTAAAGGTGTTTAAACCTCATAATTCTAAAACGGAATGTCATATTAAATATGTTTCCAATTCAGTTGTTTAGCTGCATTTCAGACTGTCAGAACCTCATGAGGTTAGAGGTGGGGAGAAAGTAAGAACAACCAAAGGACTTGTATGCATGCATATAAGCAAAACCAATGGACACAGACAGTAGGGGGATGAGAGCAAGTGCTGGGAGTGGAAGTGGCCAGGGAAAAGTCAATGGGGGAAAAAAGAGACATATATAATACTTTAAACAATAAAAAATTTAAACTAAAAAAAAAACAAAAAACACAAGAAGTTAGTAGATTGGATGATGGGTTTAATCTTTGTTTTTTAAAGTTTCGAATTTTATATCTCTATTAAATCTATAGTCCTAAAACTTCTTGATATTGTACTCTTTAATTCTCTTAAGCATCACATTGCACTTCAAAGTTTCTATTTGTGTAGGTTTTATTTAAAAGGTACCATATTTGTAAGCAAACTAAAAAATTAAAATAATTTAAAATGTTTACATTTTATGTTAACAAAAATAACATTGTTGTGGGAAAAACTATTTAATAATGAGTGAGAAGAATATTGTTTATACTATTGCAAATATGGCTTACTAGATGACAGCTGGTAGGGCACCTTGGGAAACCCAGTGGAACATTTTCCTATGGACTGGACTTCTGTGCTACAACACTTTCTGTCTGTCTTGACATCACATATAGCTGCTCCTTACCCTCCTATTGTAAAGCCCTTTCCCCAATTTCCAGATGATGAGCAATGCCAAGGCTCAAAGCTTTTTGTGAATTGGTTTTCAAAGTCCAACTCTAAACCTAGTGTTCAGGGAGGCTAAACTTTGAATGGGTCTTTCTTTGTGGACCAGGATAATTATTGTAGCTGTATAAGCTTTGATGTAGTGACAAAAGGGGCTGTGGTTGGGGTTGTACCCAGGTTTCAGGTACCCAGGTTATAATATCTAAATTCTAATGCCCAATACTGACATGACACCATACATCTAGACAGAGGTCAGCATGTTATCCAGAACATCAGACTCTTCCCATTAGATTACCTTCAAGAGACCAATTAGGTTTATTGTGTGAACAAACAAAAGGGTAGGAAAGCTATGCTGAGTACAGAGAGTAGTGCTTGGGAAACACACACAGAATCAGGCTCATGGCCCTAGCCAGAAGCAAATGCAATACAGAGGGCTACAGCTAAAGCCAGAATTGGAAAGGTGGCAACCCCTATGTATAAAAAAGGCTGATGACCCTTGGCAGCCCTACAGATCAGCCAGGAAATGAGAGCTGCCCCGCAGTAAAACTCTATGCTAGCAGGAGAGAGCCAAATGAGGTTTGTAATCTGGAAAACTGTTCTTAACAGTTCCTGGTGAGACTACTCAGGAATAAGCACCCTGGCATAGGCATCATGTTGAAGAGGAGAGTGATTGCTCAACTCTACAGTATTAGCTACAGTCCCATACTTAGCATTTCTGTCCTCTTTTATGGTCTACATCTTTTCTATGGCACTCCTCTTTAACAAGAGTTGGGCAGGTAACATTACTCTAACAAATGAAGCAAACAAGAAAAATGGACTAGGGGATACCAAGTGACTTGCCCAGCTGGACAGTGATAAGACCACACCCAGATCATCAGACTCCTAATCCAGGGCTTTAGCCACTCTTCCAAGGTGGACTAGTGTGTGTGGGAGGAGCCGCAGATCATGGGAGAAACAAAAGCTCAAGCTGAGCTATTGGAACCTAAGAGGCTTTAGAAGGCAGAGAAGAGGCAACATAGGAGAAACACAGGAAGAAAGCTCTTGGCAAATATAGGAATTGGTGGGAAGATTCATTCAAGTATCAAATTTGTGTTGGGGCATGGGCAATTAAGTTCTAAAAGTGTGAATAGATGCATAATTAGGATGTGATCCTGTGTGGTGTGTAATAAGGCATCATTGTGGTTTTACCACAATAACCAGAGTAACAATGAAAGCAGGGTTTTCGGGAGATTAGTTATGGCAGTATGACAAGGATCTGAGTGGAAGAGAGAATCTAGACATGGGTAACACAATTAGGTATTCTGGTTGTAGTAATTCAGTTGTAAAGTGGTAACTCTTGGACTAAGGTGGTAGCAGTGGAAATGGCCAACAATGAATCCACACCACTTTAAGACAGACATTCCATAATTTAGTAACAAATTAGCTATGGAAACAAAAGTACAGAATTCAAAGCTATTCCAAGCTCTCGTCTAGAACAATGAAGTCCTCACTGGAACAGAAGCCATTAGAGATATTGGATTTGATGTGACAGCTCAGAGGGACAGTTTGTAACTTAAGAGTACATCACAGCTGAGTGGCCAGAGGTCACTCTTCTTTATGAAATGATTTCTGAGGCATATGGATGAAAAAGAAGTTATATTAGCTAGCACATTTGCTATAATCATAAAAAACAAAATATGGCTTTTTCCCCCCCCCACTTTATTAGTTCTTATAAAATAAAAACAATTTGTGAAACGATTTCCCTATTCAAGATAGAGAAACTACAATCTTTACAAAATATACACATCCATAATTGTTATAATACATATCCTTGTATACACCTTGGACATTAGAAAAATATTTAAGAATCACACCCTATAAAAATTGGGAGAAGAAACATTTTCCCCAACTTTGGTCATATATGTGACATTCAAGTACTTAAACTACATTGTTGAAATATTGTAAAATGTCTATAGTTTCCAGGATCAAAGGGATGTAACTTTCAAGGCCCCATAGGTTCTTTTATTTGTGCAAGGTCAAGAACCAGGAGAGGGTTCCCTGAGCGTTAATTTACCCTAGGTAGGTCAAGCAGTGGTTTACTTTCCATACTTTATCATGGAACTAAGGGGGTAAGGCCATGGAACTAAGGGAATAAGGCCATGGAAACCCACCTTAGGCAGGTCCCCTCCCTAGCATTCCTATCTATGTAGTGTGGCTCCTACAAGAGGATTTCTAAGCATTGAGCTCTAAAATGCTGATTCTATATTATCTAAGATATTTGCAAAATGATGCTTTTGCAAGTCTAGACTCCTGTATTGTGAGTTAGGACAAAGTTATGATAGTGTGACTTCCCTAAATAGACTTCATTTAGGATTTGTCAGGTAGGGAGCATTTGGAATGATCAGTAATCCAAAAATTCCCTCTTGGAACTATTGGAGAAGTTCTTTTCTTACTAAGGCCTAAACCTCAGAAGCCAAGTTCCTTCTTACTTTGGAAGAACTGTGACCAAAGGGTGGGAAAGAACCTATAATCTTTCAAATCTGCAGGCTTAAAATAATAGATGCTACATCTGACAAAGAGCTGGAGCCCATTATAGCTTCAGCAATAAAGGGTTCATTGTTACAAAAAAATCATTTGCATGTATTTCCCACTTTCTAATTAATTCCAAGCTTTCTTAATATTCAATTCTCTGTTTATCAGCATAGTATTGGCTTGCTGAAGTTCCAGATATGATTTGTTATTTTATTTCATGACACTAATATCATGATGCAGCATTTACATTTAATATCATACTTATGTACTAGAATTTAACAGTGATTATTTTTTCTATTCAAGAAACTACAAAAGTCAACCAACCATGGAATTCACAGGTCTTAACATTTAACATATAATATGAAGCATATTACAAATAATCCCATAAGGCAAAAAGACTATAAAAATAAGTTTTAATATGATTACTGAACTTAGAAAGTTGTTTTAAAAATATATATTCTGAAGTCCTCTAAGTATTTGGCTTAGAGGGTAAGAGAGTTATCTATTAGGATTAACCATAAGTTAAAATGTAAGTTTCTGTCATTTCAAATGGTTCAATCTAATAAATTCCTGAAAAAATTTTATTTGGCATCACACTATAAATTCAAAGGGAATTTATAGAAAAACCACATTTCTAATGAGGAGGAAACATTTTAGGATAGAAATGTGCACATTGGCCATGTCAAGATTTCTTTCTTGTGATAAAAAATAAACAACTTAGTGTGGTTTTAAAAAAAGCACCCCAAAATCAGAAGACAATTAAAATTATAGAATGACAGTTACAGTTATTAATGCCACTGAAAGAGAAACTGTTAGTCAAATTTGGTGATTTAAAAACTTTTCAAAAAGTTTTTATATATTAAGAAGTCTGGCATTAAAATGAAAAGGCACAAATATGGGTTAAAAGAATAATAATCATTTACAAAAGCCTTGAAAATAAGGCTAATTTATTTGTATATTAACACCATTAAGTAGGCACCTATTACAAATTTTAGCTTTGGCCTCCTAAATGGAATTATGTTTCAAATGAATTTTCAACATACTAATCATAGCAACATTATTATGGGTAAGTTTCTTAGCCTTTACACTGCTAAGAGAGCATCTAAAATTTCCTCCTAACCTAAATCCCATCATTATGAAAAAATACACTTTAAGGTTCCATCCCCACTGATGGTGCATACAAGAGGCAACCAATCAATGTTTCTCTCTCCCCCATTCCTGTCTTTCTCTAAAAAATTTTAAAAAATCAATAAAGATATCCTTTATAATGATGAAAAAAGACATGCCATATTCAAAAATTATACTTAAACTATTAAATTTATTAAATATAATCAATTAAGTAAATACCGATTTTCCAAGTATGTGCATATGTGGTGTGTTTGTACTCGGTGGCGGTGGATTTGTAAAAAAAATACACATTTCCTCAATGATGCTTCCTTCATTTGGAACCCTGGCACCATTTACGAATGGCCGCTCCAACACTACTGGCTATTACGCAGAGCGCGCCACCCACCGTCCACCACGTTGGTATATCATTCAGGAAAATAATCTGAAAGATAAAAGCAAAAACCACATCCATGGTCTTCATTAGTGCCACCAGCCCTGCTTTTTCTATTTGGAGGGCTTTGGTGAGAAACACCTGACCCCCCAAACCAAACAGCCCGATAAGCAGGAGAAAGAGCCGGTCTATCCCACAGTTCGGCAGCCTCCACTCTCCTAATATGAAGAGGAGGATGATGCACTCCACGAGGCCAATCACTATATAATACCAGATGGTCAAAAAGTAGTCCACAGATTTCCCCATTTTTCTGAGGATAACGAGAGTGAAGGCAGCACACACGGCATGTCCCAGGGATGCGAACGTGCCCTTCAGGTGATCCGAGTAGCTCCCAGTCACCTTTGCAGCGTTGGAACCAAACAGAAACGGCGGCCTCACGATGAGGATCACTCCGGTGAAGGCAAATGCGGTGAAGAGAATATCCCAAAGGCTGTATTTTTCCTTGAGAAATATGCAAGCAAATAGAGACGTAAACACTGGACAGCTAAAGGAGATCACCGTTGCATCGGCAAGGGACGTTGCTTGGAAAGCGTAGTATAAAAGGATCATGGCGGTAGAGCCGAGAAGTCCTCTGAGAGTGAGGAAGATTCGTAGATCTTTTGGGCCTATAAACCCAGTTCTGGAAATTCAAATGAAGGAATGCATATTAAACAAAACTTGCTATTTGTTTTTAACTATAATTTTTAATCAAATACTATTTTAGAAGTCTTAACTATCAAAAAATAGGGGAATAGCAAATTAAATATGATAATGTCCACAACTACTATATCCCTTTAAAAAATGTTTTCTGAGTATACCTAACAACATTAAAGAGTACAAAGTATAAGCAAAAATAATACAAGAGAACTACATAAACAGTATCATTTAGTAAATACAGATATATATTTTTTATTTTTTCTTATGTTAGATATAATTTGCTACATGTATATATAGTGTCTCCCAAAATGTATACATACTTTGAATAATTATAAAGGCAGTGTTTATTAAAATAAATTTCATTTTGAAACTGTAACAAAAATCAGTTAAAGTATTAATACAGTTTTGGGGGGCACCCTGTATATACTTGAAAAAAAAAGACAAAGGAAAACATACTGAAATGCTCATTGTTGTTAGACCGCATTCTCATATAGTAATTTTCCTTCTTTACATTTATTTTCCCCAAATTTTCTGTTAAATATATAAATATATGAAAACATGTTACTTTGATAATAAGTACAATTTCCAGATTTAGCTGCCCCATATAAGAAAACCTGGTCCTAGACCAAGTATGCATTCTTAAGAGTTTTTCATTAAAAGCAGAAGCAATGCTCTATGTTCTGTAAGTCATTGCATGTGAGACAACTTTTCACTGTTCTCTTTAGGAAAGGCATTATAAGTATAAGTGCCATCAAAGTTTGTTCAATTTAATATTTACTAAACAGAGAGTCCTGCGCTAGTTCCTAGCTAGGTGCATCTTGCTGATCTGTGTTGGGGCTGGACATCTTTAGGGCAGCATGTAGGCCAGCCATGGGGACTCTGAGTCTCTGGAGTCAGAAATAAAAGTGTGGTCACCTTTGGTCCATACTTTGAGGAGCTAGGAATCTTCCTCAATAGTGAAATTTAAAATGGGTCAAACTAAATGATCACCAAGGATTTAAGAAAATTCAGTGCCTTCCCAGACAATACTTTTATTCCAAAATGGGGAAGATGAACAATATTGACCTTAGCAAATTTTAACCTTTTTCAACAAACCCTCAGTATATAGACCGAAACAATGCTAAGTGAATATGCACAGTATTATAGATACAAGGAGAGTTCCGTGGCAAGCGACTAAAGCTTTTTATTTGGGGTTTAAACATCTTTGCCCAAGAAAGAAAGAGCCAGGAAGCCACTAGGAACCGAACTGGTCTCTTTTTCCAGGGTTCAAAGTACACAAGGGTATACAGAGGTTATAACAGTGTGGGAGAGGCATACTTTTAACCTGGGAAGGGTGTGTGTGTGGAGGGGGGGGCAGAATTCACATGAATGAGTAAGATGGGATGGGTGAGATCAATGCTACATTTTTTTTTTTTTTACAAAGCACTCTGATCTATAATAATTCCATTTGATTCTTATAACCATGGGCAGGTAGAGGATAGATATTCCCTTCAGTTTATAGATGAGGACACTGAATATGGAAAAGCAGCTAAAAAGCCCCTCAAGATTACCTTTTCCCTTTCCCACAGCACCTTAGACCTAAATATTACTATGGTAGCTGCCTCTCTGCCTTTGTAGCAGAGCAATCTATTCTACCTAAAGAAAGGGAGACACTACCACGTCCTCTTGTTTACTTTTTCTTACAAATACTAGTTATGCCAAAACAAGGAAGGGAAGGTGGTACAAGATGAGAGGAATTATACCAGGAAAGTTTTGTTCTCAAAATGAGGGCGGAGAATAACTGAATCTTTTTATCCTCCTCTGTTGGGCATTTTGTGTGTGCTTATGAGCATCTGATTTAGGTGGGATTCTTGTGACTTTTCAGTAATCAGAGTCAAAGGGTGTAGGCACTGGCAATTCTATGACAAGGATTAAAGCAGATACTATAGAGAAAATCTGGGCAGGTCAAAAGATTTACAACCATTTATTAATATCTACTTTGCAGTTTGGAAATACTTACTTTCTGTATATTAAGCAAGGGATAACGACTAACATTTGGAACACACATCGGAATGCACTAACTTCTACAGCATGGAGGTCTTGCACTTTTTTAACAAATAAAGAGCCCACTGAGAAAAGGAAGGCAGACAATAATGTGTAAAACAAGCCAAGTCCAATACAGGGTGCTTTCTTCTTGGCTTCTGAAAAAGATTAAATTCTGGTTAGTCCTTACTTCCAAGTGTATGCTTTATCATTTTCACTTAGAAATTGAGAAAAATGGGACAGTGTTAATGGCTAACAAGCTGCAAATATTACCTCCTAAGCATGTTTTGGATCGGAAACATTTTTCCCACCAAAAAATGAAGAACCATAGACAAAGGAAACAATTTAAACCTGTGTTTTCCTAAATGCAATTTCACCCTATTAAAGGGATTTCCTTTAACTCGCTGAAGAGACATCCCTCACCTACAAGTCAAAAAGAAGTAAAAACTGTAGAGAAGTCTTTTAAGAAATGCTTGTCAAGATGACTAGAGAAAAATGCTTCCAAATGATACTTTGTATCATTTCACTGGTGAACTGTGCTTCATGAAGAAAGTGGTCTTTCTGGAAAACAGTTCATAACTGTTCTATGGCTACTTGATGATGAGCTGACTTCCTCCAGAAGCCTGCGAGTGCCTGGAGGGGCCGCAGCTGTCTTGTTCATGCCTGGCACATGGAAAACCCTCAATAAATATTTGATGAGTGAATGGATGTGAGAGAATCTCCTGGAAAGAGGCAGAGTGTAAAACCACTGGCAACAGCATGATTTAGGAAGGTTCTGTGTTTTGTTAATTTGAAGCATTAGTCAAATATTTGAACCTCTCATGGTTTTCCACATATCATTTCAAACATAAACTTTAGAGGACAAGGGGGGCAGCTATCTACCCTCTGACCCCAAAGTGCTTTTCTTTTTCTTTTATCTTTTAATCCTCACCCAAGGATACTGACGAGAGAGTGAAAGTAAGAGAAAGAGAATGAGAGAAACATCAGTATGAAAGAGAAACATCATTCGTTCAGTTGCTTCCTGTACAGACCCTGAATCGGGATTGAACCAACAATATAGCTATGTGCCTGACCGGAAATCAAACCCACAACCTTTTGGTGTATGGATGCTCCAACTAAGTAAGCCTCCCAACCAGGGCCCAAAGTGCTTTATAAATACATTTTAAAATTAGAATTGTCATCTAATACCAACTTCCTGGTTAACCTGAGTCAGGACATTTGTGCTTTCTCTAGGCCTGTGGTCGGCAAACTGCGGCTCTTTGGCCCCTTGAGTGTGGCTTTTCCACAAAATACCACGGCCTGGGCGAGTCTATTTTGAAGAAGTGGCGTTAGAAGTTTAAGTTTAAAATATTTAGCTCTCAAAAGAAATTTCAGTCGTTGTACTGTTGATATTTGGCTCTGTTGGCTAATGACTTTGCCAACCAATTCTCAGCCATCAAGTATTCAATCTATTAATGATAGTCTGATTGAGCATTATACTTCTGTTCAGTCATTTTCTCTGTCTTAGTTGCCTAAAACAGGAGTAGAACCCTCCTTTCACTCTTACCCCCTGGCATTCAGGAGAGCAAAATGAAGAAAGGTGAGCAGAGAACTTCCTAAAAGGCCACACACTGAACTCACAAAAAGGAAAGAATAAGGAGTAAACTTTACTGGCTCTCATTTGCTAAGAGCACGGCAGAGCTAAAGGATGTGTGGGTCCATCCAACTTGTAGTAAAACCAGGGTCACCATTCCATCTAGGAATGTGTACAATGTATTCTTCCACTATAGAATGGTATTACATAATGATATGTGTGTGTGTGTGTGTGTGTGTGTGTGTGTGTGTGTGTGTTAAAATGTCCTTCCATTTTAAAGGCAAACACCAGGCATTGTATTTTAATATCCTAGTGTTAGATAGATATCTTTGCTCACAAGTGACACATTTGCAAAGTGTGATGATGCAGTCTCCCTGGTGGCATTCTACATCTTGTCCTTTGCAGTAACAGATGCCATTCTGGTCAGAGACTTCACCTCTTCCTGTTCTAGGTGCACAGCTGAAGAGGATGATTGTGCTGTCATGTTACAGATTTTACGATGTCTAAGTGCCAGAGTCTCCACATTTTGTTCTGTAATCATGTGCTCAGATATTGCAGAACAACTACACATACCTACTCAGCCCATGAGAAGGAAGCTTTAGAAGACTGCTAAGTTAAGCACCACCACTCAATACATGTTTTGGCTGTAGTCAGCCTTAGAATTTAGCTTCTGAAATTTCAGAATTCAAGTCCAAATAAAATAGTTTTTCTTCAAAGAAATCCAACCCATACATAGAACCTACACTCTCAGACAGAAAGAGATCAAGAACAGAAAACACATTCCTGGTCTATAGTTAAAGGATCTTCTCCAACCTAAACTTCTCAATTTTTCTCCAGGAATATTTTAACATGCTACTTTAACTTTTTGAAGACTTAATTTCACACCCCTGGCTCTGATTACCGTATCTTTTCCTTAAAACACATTCACTCACCTATTTTCTTGCCTATGAACTCTTCTGGCCCATGCTTCCCAATGGGGACAGCACAGTTGGTACAAGGCCAGCTGAACTTGATTATTTATTAATGGGGGTGAGAACTGGCTCTACACAGGCAACCCTCAGTCTCTTACTGAATAATAATTTCAATACTCTGTCAATGGAGATGAGCAAGAGTAGCGTAACCCAGAGGCACTTGCTTATTAATTAGCTCCCAAGTTCATAACCACTATAAGAATTTCTATTAATTTGGTGACTCTAAATAACTCAAATTAATTGGCCATAGTGCAATTTCCTGTTACGTAAAAGAAAACAGAAAAGTTGCTCAATTCTCTAATCTCTGCTTTAAACTGGTGATGCGAAATCCTGGTTGGGAATTAGAACCAAGTAGTACCAGTAGTAACTTTTTAATGTTTTAAAAAGTCTTTATTGTTTAAAGCACATGTGTCAAACACAAGGCCCTCGGGCCAAATCCGTCCCGCCAGGCCTTGCAATTTGGCCCGCACCGCGCTGTCATCACTGCACTCCGCTGCATTTCCATCACAATGACAGTTTATGACTGTTCAGTAAACCATTCGGCCCGCGATTTAGGCTGGATTTTAGATTTTGGCCCCTTCTCTGATTGAGTTCGACACCCCTAGTTTAAAGTATTATATATGACCCCTTTTTTCCCTTTTAACCCCTTCTAACCTGCCCCTACACCCCACCCCCACCCCAGGCCTTCGCCATACTATCAACTGAGTCCATGGATTCTACATATAAGCATACAAGTTATTTGGTTGATCTCTTCCCACCCACCTCACCTTAAAACTTTAATTCCCAAACCCTGCCCTAGACCTACTGAAACAGGATCTCTATAAACTGTACAAAGCTCTACTGGCTAGAGAATTACTGTTAAAACAACTTATTCCTTCCAGGGGCATGTAGGGCACAGACTCAAGACAACTTCTTGCTTCAGTCTAAAATCCACACAGCCCCTCAAGGAAATAAATAGGTGTCTTAGGGTAGCTGTACGTTGTCTGTGAAAGTTATCCAAGAATATAAGAAAAATTGGTAAGTTTCAACCTGAACTTGAAAATGAATTTTGTTGAGGTAACCAGTTGATTCAAGTGACTAAAATGATACTGTCACAAAGTTCAATGACAACAGTACTGTGGTTTAAAGTGTTTCTATGGCAATCCTGTTTCTGGAACATCATCTGGTCCCCTTTTAATAACTATTGCTAAGCCTTATTGTTATCAACTTTCTTTGAAGTTATAAGACTCCACAAGATTCTAAGCGCCATCACTCATATTGGTTTGTCATTTTGCCATGTGCCGCCTGAGGGAACAGTATTCCTCTTCCATTCCCAAATGGGAAATGTTTAAGAGTTTGCAAAGCCTGACTCAGCATTCCATCAGAATGACATTTAGCCATAGGGTGATAAGGTGAGAAACTGATCTTTTCAAGGTCTGCACATCTGGCCAACCGCACTTGGGGGTAACTCCTGCTCTAGGGAGAGGCTCTACCATGCATAAAGGAATAGAATTCTGTTCATTTCTGTTAGCGTTTAGCACAGAAATGGAGCAAGGGTCATTTTCCTGGAGTTTATCAGAGAGGAGAGAAGCTGAGGTACAGCAGGACACATAGAAATCCCGAGTCACACTTAGGGAAGGTGACCCAGAAGACTGTGTAACTGTGTCTGGGAAGGGCATCTGCTTATTTCCCTCTTCCAAGCAGCTGCTCCAAGTGGTGGTGGAGTTCAAGGAGAAATGTGCTTGAGGCTAATAGAAAGGGCCCTAGGCTAGGTTTCTGGCAAGCTGGTGCTGCAGGGACCTAAGCCAGATCTTCATAAAACAAAAAAGCCCAAGTCCTCACCTTCCTGGGCCTCACTTTCCTCATTTGTCAAAGTAAGTTGTTGCACAAGATCATGGGTTTTTCCCACGGGGTCCTTGGCTTGGGGGACGAATCCCTGAACCCCTTAACCACATAAGTAAGACTGTGCCTCTGCCTTCTTGTGCATCAGTTGCTAACAAGTCCTCCTAACCCCATCTCTGCCTTCCCAAGGTTCTGGGACAAACATTTTTTGACTCCAATGTTTTGCAACTTCCTCTTCAGGGTACACCGTTTACCACCGAGATCAGTTTTCATGGTTAGCTTCCTCCCAGCCTGGGCCGGCTATGGGATGGCCTTTCTCGCTGACCACCCAACCTCCGACCTGGTCCGGGAGCGCCCAACTGCAATCTGACTCCACCGACTTGCCCGTAACACTTTAATTATAGGAACAATTTAACAGTTTTAGAAGCCCCAAGAGTTCCAAACACAATCAGAAACTTTCTCGGGCTTCGCGCCGGCGGATACAAGGACTTTTGCGTTGCCGCCCCCAGGTGACAGCTCCCAGGCTTTCCGGGGCTCTAGGCAGGGCAGAGGAGGGGGTCGTGGTCCGCAATGCGCCCCGCGCTAGCGCCCGCCCGGCCCCCCAAGGGCGAGACCGGCGCCCCGTTCAACACCTCGCACTCACCGGGCTGCGCGCGCGAACCGCACGGCGAGGAGCGGCACAGCCAGCACCAGCTGGGGCCCGGCGTCTCCACTGCCTCCGCCGGCTCTTCCCTCACGGCCTGGGCGTCCTCACTGGCGGACGGGGTTGTGTCCTCTGTCAGCGGCAGCCCGGGCTCCCGCAGCTCGGCGACCCCGATGCTGCCGAGGGGCCGCATCCCGCGGCCGGCGCTCTCCCCGCGGCCGTCGCAGCGCCCGGCGCGGAGCTGGCTGCCTGGCTCTTCCGGCGGCGGGGCGGGGGCGCGCTTGCGCGCGCGGCCCTCCTGTGCCCGGGCAGGGCTGTCCTTCGCTGCCCTCCCACCTCCAGCTCCCTACCCTCCTGTGCTGCTGGAGGTCGGCCAGCTGTCTGATGGGGTTTCCTTGGCCACAGCTGACCCGAAGGCGTCCACCCCTCTGCTGCGGTCTGGCTAGACTGGCCAGAGGTTTGGAGTCATCTTTCCCAAGGCACACTGGATCCCTTCTCTTGGGCAGGCCTTGAGGAGGTTAGGAGGGTACCCGTTTAGTTATTGGTGTGGCACCATAATCACTTCTCCAAGCTTTGTCAAGCCCTGTTTTCCCCAAGACTCATGGCCACTTACCCAAGGAGGGTACAATGCTACTGGTTCTAGTGCAAACCACCTGACCAGTGATATGCTAGGGAAAAACTAAGTTACCCCAGGATATGGCCCCTCCCTTCAATTGACTGTCCCTTGCTAGGCACCTATGGTTTCCACCTTGGTAACCTTCTGTACCTGGCCCATTTTCCTCCCTCTGCTCACCTCTAACTGCCTACAACAGAAAGACCAATAACAAAGAACATATAAATGAGCCCTGTGTCCCATGTGGGAAATTTATGCCTGTCACTACTTGAGCCAATTAAGCAGAGACAGGGCTAATAATATATGAGTATTTATTCCAATAACTAGAGACCCGGTGCACAAAATTCGTACATGAGGAGGGGCGGGTGTCCCTCAGTCCAGCCTGCACCCTCTCACAATCCAGGACTGCTAACTCCCAACTGCTTGCCTGCCTTCCTTCCTGCCTGCCTGCCTGCCTGATTTCCCCAACAACTTCTGCTCCCAACTGCTCCCTGCCTGCCTTTCTGATTGCCCCTAACCACTTCTGCATGCCAGCCTGATCACCCCCTAACCACTCCTCTGCCAGCCTGATCAACGCCTAACTGCTCCCCTATTAGCCCAATTATCCCTAACTGCCTCAGTACTATATAATAAAGAGGTAATATGCAAATTGACAATCACTCCAACACACAAGATGGCTGCCCCCATGTGGACACAAGATGGCTGCCACAAGATGGCCAACAGGGGAGGGCAGCTGGGAGGGCAATTGGGGCAACCAGGCTTATGAATCTTTTCCATCCAAGTAGTATCCTCATAGCTAAAAAAAAATGTGAAGTTTGAACTCTAAACTTTAATTCCCGGGAACAGAAATTAAGCCTTTTTTAGAAATGGGTCCTGTGTCTCATGTGGAAAATTTATGTCAACTTTCCATTCTGTTCCCTCATATATTTATCTCAGTACCATTTTTCATATAACTCATTCAACTAATGTTGTTTGCATGCCTACACTGGTCCATTTACAATTCTTAATAGAGGCAGAGTGGGGAACAAAGGAGACTGGGCTACATTCAGTCCTGACCATGATAGGGGTGGGGATGATGAAGGAAAAAGATGCCAGCGTTACCTACCTTTACCTAGTGGGCCGTGCCTTGTTTAGCTTCCTGTTCCTTTCCAATTTGACATGTTGGCCTAGGAGTAAAGACATTGAGTTCTCTGTGGTTGCATGGGTCTAGGCAAATTTCAGCTCTCTCAATTTCTATTTTCTCAGCTCAGAAGGCACAGTTCTGGATTCCCAAGCAATCACTGTAGGGCAGAAAACTGCCCTTCAGGCCTTGTCATGGCTGAGACTTGCTCCAGTAATTCCTTGCTTTCCTACTTTCATCTGTTCCCACACTGCCAAAGGGAGCTCTCATGTAAATGATTTCTAGTACCCCACAGAACCTGTATCCTCCTGTGGGAACTTGCTTTCTGTTTACAGATTCTTTGGGAGTGAGGGTGCCTGAACTTGAGACTAGGCCCTAGATAATAAAATTGGTTATAAATTTGGGATTTGGATTCTACCCAGTACACATTTTAATAACTACCATTTACTAAATGCTCAAAATATGCCAAGCACTATTAAGTGCATGATTTCACTTAATTGAAAAGTGAGGTTTTTTTTAGGCAGTTCAGTAAGTATTAAAAACAGGGCTCTGGAGTTAGACAGCCTGAGTTTCCATCCTGGCTGTCTTACCAGGTGTGTGGCTTCAGAAAAGTAACTTAGCCTCTTTCTGAACCTCTATTTTCATTTCTATAATATAATCTAGCTGCTGTGAGAATGAAGTAAGAGAAAAACGTAAAACACCAGATAGTAAGTACTCTTTAAAAGAAGAAGAAAAAAGAGAGAGAAAAAAAAGGTGTGCATTCTATTATCTCCTTTACAGATGAGAACATTGAGGCTAAGAGATGTTAAACAACTTGCCAAAGTCACATTGAATGGTTAGGGCATAGATAGGTTTGGAATTCAGGAATGTCTGAAGTCAAAGTCATGGTCCAGACAACTCTACTCATCCAGAAGACTTGTTACCAGGTTTGCTGGTTTCTGAGAGGACCTCCTTAGAGCATAGTTTCTTTTACATTGAATCCTGACTTGGACCTTAAGGCCATTACTATGGCAACATTCTATGACTACTTTCTTTGTTACAGTCATGCTGTGTAGTTTGCATTTTGACTTTCTTGGAATAAAATGCTATGAATAAAGAGCAGTAATCTTTTAATGCTATTAACAGAAGTCATCCTATTTCCTTATCTGCTATGAGAACAGTTATGCCCCAGTGACCACAGCTCTGATCTCTTTTTATCTCACTTCTGTTGTCCAAAGCTGGGGATCTTAGCTAGTGGGGTAGGAAGAGTTCATAGGCAATTTGCCAAGTGAATAGGTACCCTCAAATAACACAACTCTGATTTTAGTCCCTTCCTGGATCTTCTGCCTGTCTGAACCATCCTACTGTTTTCCCTCCACTCTCTTACTGTCTGCTCCATTTCTCTTTTCCCATTACCAGAGTTGATCTTCTTCCAACTTTGCATGCTGTCAAACAAAAAGGGGGGAAATATTAATTTTTAATAATAAAAGACCTCAAAGTGGAACAAGGCTTAGGCAAGGTGTCAGTGAGTAGAGACTTCCAGTACCACTTAAGAGACAAACAGCTATACCACAGATACACACACATATATAGTTCTTGGCTACTACAACTGAATCAGAGGCCAGCATCAGTCTTCTTCTATTTTTAAATTAAAAGAATTCTTTATTTTAAATGTATATAGTGCCATAATTCATCAAAAAAATTTATAATAGTTAATCACCTCTTAAATATGATTGTATAAATAAATAATGGATTCAGTCAAGTTTCTTTAAAGTTAACTCTATGCTATGAAGTATTATAAGAAAGGAAATCATGCCACGTTCCATTCCATTAAAGGGTATTAAAAAAATTATAAGCTAATTTGGATAGACCTAGCAATTTCCTGGGTATTAACCTTCTGTATAAACCTGACTCTTTATATTAAAACCATATTCTGGTTTCCTACCAGTAAGTAAGAAATTCCTTAACAGAGGCCTAGAAATGGCCTTACTGTCACATACTTCTTCACCTCCAGATGGTCACTTGATGCTCTGATGTAGACAGTATAGAATGTCTGCTATTTCACCTCTGCTAATCTTCCCAGGAAGATAATTCCATTCCAGTCATTGCTTCCACCTTGACCTTCCAAATTCCACTGCTGTGAGGAGTAGCCATCACAGATTGCCGTAGCAACATAGCCTTTGTGACTCAGTAGATCAACCACTTTCAGGCACTGTCCAACTGATACCTGGTACAGTTGATTATTCCTCCCAAATGTCCAATGCTGGGATCCTCCCAACCCATGACACTTCATGAGTCTGGATGGGTCAGATGATGGAGTTTCTGACATCCAAGCAAAGGAAATTACTTAAAACCAATACATGCTCTTCATTATAAATCTAGTTCTAACTTGGGTCACTGTAGTCACATGCCTTAAGCACTTCCAGGCCTCTCTTCTGACTTGGGTGGCTCTGAGCCACCAGACAATTGCCAGTCTGGTGGTGATAAAGCCTTCCATGCTGAAGGGTTTTGGGGTGTTTTGGCCCCCTGTTGATAAAAATGGGTTGCTGGGGTTTGGCATTGGGCCCAGATATCTGCATCTCTAGGTAAGGGCTCTCCAAATGCCATTTAAATAATTTACAACCCAACTTCTTCCTCAATTCAACACACTCACTGACATTTCCATAGCTGCTTGTCCTCAGGTCAGGTCTTAAGGAAAAATACTGCTCCTTATATTCATCCAACCAAATGTGTTTCAGCCTCAAGGAATTGTGTCCTGGCCTTCAGAGGAACCATAGGGCCGCCTTTTCCAGAAAACGTGTCCGACTCTGGAGCAAGGGATAATGAAGAGCTTACCCCAACACAGCCAGATCTGAAATGATCTTTCCAGGTTTTCTCCTCCCCAGATATCCATGCTGCTGTCATACTGCCCAAGTTCACTGAAGTAGCTTCTATTCATGCCAAACAATCCTCCCACCATTGTAGGTGGTGTGGTAGCTCCTTCTGGCCCTCCGAGCTCAGAAAGGAGAGCAAGATCCCATTTGAAGTGCAATCCCCAGTTGAACCCTCCACGTACCACAGGGGATGAGCTGTAAGCCAGCGTGTCTGCACTGATTATATCCATCACCAGACACACCGCTGTCCGCGGTCCTCCCAGATGGCAGCCAGCAAGGGCTGCAGCCATGTTACATTCACGTCACAGTGGCTGTCCAGGAACACCAGGACTTCTGCTGCATGAGCTGCTCCTAACATTCTTCTTGAATTAATCCCTCACGCTTTGTATTTCTTATTCATTTTTCCAGGGAGGTTATTTGACAAATTCATCTAATTCTGCTTTCATATCATTGAAGTCACTGTTGTCATTCACAAGAATGATTTTGTGGAGAAGCCGGGCTGGAGTGTGGTCCAGGACGTTGTGCTCAGTCCGCAGCAAAGCAGACAAGGCTTCATTGTAGAAACAAATAACAACACTAGTGCCTGGCAGGTCTGTAGGATATGTCTTGTCTTTACATGCTATATTCCTTGTATCTGGCACATCTCTGTGGTAGCCCAAGTGGTTGCTAAAGAGCATATTGAAGGCATGCTTCTGATACTCCA